ATATATATATATATATATATATATATATATATATATATATATATATATATCTCCGACTTATCGCGTATACGATCGTATTTGACATGAATAGTAATATATTGCTCTACGACTTCCTGCTCGCGCTGGCGATGCAACCGGGAAAACCAGACAGCCTGATGAAAAGTGAAAACTGCAACGAAATGGCAACTAATCCTTTTAATATGTGCTGAACTCGAATTTAATCTGCCGACTTTCGCAATATTGCAATTTCTATTTTCATTAATGCAATGATACTCGAACAATTACTACAGGAGTATTGGAGGGAAAGAGAAAAAAAGAGAAAGAAAACTACTTAATTACTAGAGAAAACCGGTAATGCCAATGTCGACTGGTGATTATTTAGACAGCAGTGGTGATCCGCTGTTTTGCAAAACAGGTCAACGGAGGGTCGGCCGAACATTATTTACGAGGTGGTGGAAGAAGCAGGTAGTAAAAGTCGGATACAAAAGGTGGTCGGCGATCCTGAATACCAAATTGTCTCGTACGGTCAGCCGACACGTTACGCGAACGACACTCGAGAAAACGCGAATTCCACTTTAAAACGCGTCGTAAGTAAATCATCTTTCGATTAACGATGCGTCAGCATGAGCTAATAGAATGCGCGACTGTGTAGAAAATCGAAGGCACGTCCGTCCGGCCGCGCATAGTGTTGACTAAGCGGCAGCGGAGAATCGATTGCCCGGAAGTGACGTTCGAATTATAAAAAGCGCTCAACCGAATCGCCCACGTGGTTACTTGGATCACTCGATTGAGCCCGATGATTACGTACGATTTTCAACTTGGCTAAATATTACAATTCACAAATTGCTATCTCGTCACACTTCATAAGAGAGAGAGAGAGGGGGGAGAGGAAGAATAATAAAGTTTTATTTAGGCCTGGGATTGTGTATGATAATTCCTTTACTCTTTTAAAGTGAATCAGTGAAATATTATTGAAAGCAGTGAATATACATTTATTTGCAGTTATAAGTATAGTACTAAAACTGCTCAGTGTTATAATTATAACTATCAATCAATGACTATTCACTGATTCACTTTAAGAGAATAGGATATTTAGTACAAAAAAATAGAAAGTTATTGCTAGATCCTCAAATTACATGATAATTGCTAAATAAACAAAAAATAAATTAATTACACATACAAATGATAATTTTAGTTTATGACTATATAAAATAAATACTGAGACCTCGATAAGCTGTAACAAGTTATAAAAATAACCATTACAGCAACTGGAGCAAGTAACAGTGATTATGCCGAAACTAGCTAACTAATCTATGAGAGTGTGAGAGGAAGAGGGAGAAGATGAGAGCATGGGAGAGGGCCTGAAGTGCATTGACTCGTTATCGAAAAGGGACGTATCGTTTCCGACATGGAGAAACGTCGATTTCGTCTTTCGCGTTGCGATTAACAGCGCGAGGTGAAACGTCAGCGGGTGATTCAACTCAATTCCATCTCTCACGAGAGTGACGACAACGACGACGAGAACGAGGGATACGTAAGAGATTAATTTGATGTTGAAGCGAGTTCCTTTTAAATTGACTTATCAGATTCCGATAAACGCGCGCAGGAGAACGCGGCGACTCGCGAAGATAGCGCGCGCACTCGTCGTCGCACGCGAGTTTTCACGCACACGCGTACTCGTTCGGGCCATTCTGTGCCGTCATCGGCAGAGGGTCATCGCCCTCTTCCTCCCCGCTTCCCTCTCGCCCTCTCTATCTGCGCATAGCACGAAAGTAAAGCGTTTTAAAGAGCACGCGCCACGAGAAGGTGGAGAAGATTGCGGCGAACGCGATGCCCCGAAATTGCGTCCCCCTTTTTTCTTCTCCTTTCTCTTGCTTTCGTTTCGCGGCGACAAAGGAAACTCGGCGAAAATTCGCGCGCGCTTTTCCGCCTTTTTCTCGAAATCGTCCGAACGACTTCGCGGTGTGCAAGCGGCTCCGCGCAAACTTCTTCCATTACAATTCGTCGTAAAGTGGGCCAATCGTTACGAATGAGGCGCGAACGAGCGCGTTAAATGCAGCGGCGGCATCGTCTGGGCGCGGACACACGTGAATTAATTGTGCCAGAACAACTTTCATTTTAATGTCGTTCACACGGGAGAGGGAACATGCTGCCTCCGGTAATATGTACAGGGTGTCTGACGATATAACACTCTCGTGTACGTGTAGATCGGAACGAACGAAAAATTCCTCTACCATTTGCAAACAATCGCGTGGACTTTTGAGCTACCAATTAAAGAAGATTGGCGAATAATCACACGAGATACATTCAAAAAATGATCTCACAGTCATAGCAAAAATGATCTAGATACGAGAGATACAAAGATAAAAAAAATGACTAACAATTTTTACGGAAGTAAAAAAGCACCGAATAAACTCATTATCTTCTTCTTTCAAGCGGCAACAAAGATAGCTGTACTTCTTTAAAACGCTATTATTTACACCACAAAATGTATCCTGAAATCAATCAACTGTCAAAGCATAGATGACCTAACTGCATAGAACTATCCTCCTAATATCAACTTCTAATAGCAACATGCAGAATATCAATATTCAGAGCTACGTTCCAAAATTCTATTCAACGAATAGAGTAGCATTTAACTGGCTAATCAGAACAAAGAGAACTAAGATTTCTTTATTATGATCAGTTAATGTTATTTTACCCGCTGAATAGGATTTTGGAATGAAGCCCAGGATGAACCAAATGGAGATACGGCCTATAGGAATGATAAACTGTGGGATCCTGATCTTTGCCAAGGTATGTTAATTAGACCTCCATGTGGTACATCCTGGGTATAGTGCTAAGCAGCCTATAACTTTGACTTGAACTTTAATGATGATGAAAACTCATAAAAACCATCTCTTCTTTATATTCTCACAAAAAAATTCGAAAGCAAAGCAATTTGAAATTTCAACATAAAAATGATAACTCGAAAATAACGCATTTTCAAACCTATGTTCTTACTAACTTTTTTTCTTATTTTTGACTTCCCGATCACCTTCCGAGCGATTCCACTTTTGAAACACCCTGTATATATATCTCCTTTCTTCACTATGCCGTTTACCATCTCTCACTCTCTCTATCTCTGCTGCTATTACGATAAAAATGCTCTATCTCTCTCCCTCTCTCTCTGCTCACGCGAATTATGTAATTAAACGACCCAAGTCAGAGCCCACTTATAATCCTAGAATGCTAACCGTACGAGATTTCACGTTTTTAACGACGCTGCTAAATACCACATCCGATCATTTTCCAAACTAGATTTTCTCTGATCGTTTTAGAGTTTCGGTTAACTTGAAATATTGTAATTACATAAGACATTGACGCGTTTTTTTCATTTTACTGAAAGGCTCGCGTCAGAGGCAAGATTAGCGTTCGAGAGTCGATTCGGGCGCACGCCCGAAGTCGATCGATCTCCTCCTTCCTACTTTTTTTCGATCATGCTGCCGTTCTAGTAGCGTACGATCTCAGGTACGCTAATGACGCACATTTCACGATCCCCGCGTCCTTCCGGTCGGGAGTCTCGACCTGCCGGCACAACCACCGCGTTTTCACACTGGGATATTCCCCCAAGGACGATCTCGTGAAGGAGAATTTTTTCAAGGTGAATCACCGTCTCCTTTGGCTCGCGACGCTGCAGGTGAGGAAGCAGTCGCCCCGCCGCTGTCTACTACTCCCACACGAATCGACTACCGTACACGTTTCTCGTCCCTCTGTGTCCTAGCAGAAGTTTGCGCATTTTATGTCGCGCGAACGACGGTGCGACTCCCCGAAACATATCTGTCGCTTTCGCTTTGGTCCCGCGGGACCCCATACTGTTCGGGCGATTCTGCCCTGAGAGGAGCAAACGACGGAATTAGGAGCGTTGGCGCTCGAGAACCGTTGAATCAGAAGGTCTGTTCGTTTTCGAAGAACTTCTGAACTCGAACTCAGTTTGAATGAAACGGGTATACTTTCTTTCATTCTAACTTATTTAACTAGTGTGTACTGGTTCAGGATTTCTTCTAAAACGAGCAGACTTAGAGACTGACTATAAGAATGGCTTTGTTAAAATCGAGAGAGAGAGA